ATAAACATGGCAACATGAGTGCAGGGTTGCGGCAAAGCAAAGAAATGAAAGTGTGCCAACTCCAATTGATGTAATTACAACATACACAAACCAAACAGTCCAACGGGGGGGCATAGGATGAAGGGGGTATGTATGAGTAGCCTCCATGATTGTGCTTTGCCAATGTATCACTCACACACCAATGCACCGATGTCCTGTAGAGGTGGGCCATTGCATGTACAACTGTGGCTGATCAAAAAGGTAACTATCCAATGGGATGGCATCTAGGAGGGCAGTGGTAGGTAATTGGAAGTCACTGGTGGTGTGTTTATATGATGGTGTACATGAATAGTGGGGATGCAACAAAAAAAATACTGAACAATGTGGCTTGACACCACATCAAGCAGTAGGCTATGCATATCCAGAGTACCTTGGGAGTGGTCTGTGTGAGCAGCAGTGTTTTGGCCCATTTTGTGAAAAAGTAGGATTGAAATGTAGTTTTTTTGTGGGTTTTTTCGGGCTGTGTGGCCATGTTCTAGAAGAGTTTCTTTCTGATGTTTCACCAGCATCTGTGGCTAGCATCTTCAGAGAAAACTGAAATGGAAAAGCATGGGTGTATATATACCGTGAGACCCTGGGTAGGGAGGAGTAGTTCCCAAGTGAACTGTGTGTTGTTCTGTGTTGAATAGGTATTGTTCTGTGTTAATGGCAAGCTTCAGGATATGCAATCAAGGATATTGTCTGCTATTCCCATGTAAACTGTGCATTGTTCTGTGTTTGAATAGGAATGTGTATTGTTCTGTATTTGAATAGTGTTTGAATAGGATTGAAATGCTTTTTCCTACCCATCTGCTCCGGCCCTATGGTTCAATATCAAATTCAACATATACTGTCAGCCCATCTACAGAGTCAACTATCCACAGCTTGAAAATATTCTAAAATATATAAATACCAAAAAGCAAACCTTAATTTTGCTATTTTATATAAGGGACACCATTTTATTACTCCATTGTTTATAATGGGACTTGAGCATCCATGGATTTTGGTATCCATGGGGGGCCTGGAACCAAACCCCAGCAGATACCAAGGGCCCACTGTAATGAAGTTGTATGGTCAAATCTAATTAAAAATTGGGAAAGTCTTTTAAAAATATAGGAAGGTTGTTACAAGAAAGATTAGGAAGAAAGGAAGGTTCATTCAGGACTTTTAAAAGCTCTCAAACTTATTCTGTACTCTAATAAAAGAAATACAAATAAAAATGTACCAGTATAGGCAAAAACAAATCTATGAAGATTTCAGGCAGAATAATCCACAGACTCAAGGTGCTATTTTAAAAATCATGTAAAAATTACAAAGCCTAAAATCTAAGAAAGAAAATATAAATGACTATTCCAAGCTAAAAAAGAATATGAGGAACATGTTCCTGGAAATATTAAGTTAGAAATCCTGTACCTACTTTCCTATAAAAGAGCACCATTCTATTCAATATACATGTTTCTGAGTAGCCATGGGTGGGCTTGTATTGTAAAGAAAACACTTTAAAAATTAAATATAATGGAAAGTCATTAGATCATTATACAACAACAACCAACAATTTGCTATGAACTTCAGAACAGAAGTTTCTAGACAAATACCAAGTCTGAAGCATGTTTTCCCTGAAAAGCTAATCTTATGCATACTTACCTGAGAGTAAAGTTCACTCAATGGAACACCTCCAGGAAAACATACACAGAATTGGACTGTAAGTGATCTCAATAGGTGAAGGATACACATTCCAGCATCTTGGTAGTATACACCAAGGAGTTCTCAGAAAATTTGTTAAATGTTTGCTTTTCTAACACACACACACACACACACACACACACATTTTTACATATTAAGAACACATTAAAACATGTTTTAAAAGAGCATATGATAAGATGGGTGAGAAATCTTGAAAAAGAAATCACATTAGAAAAATGGAACAATGCTAGATTGATCACTTACAGATTTACAAAAAATCAAATAATGAGAGAAAACTATTATAAAATGGAAAATAGATGGCATCTAACACCGGCCAAATTAGCCAAGATATATAAAAATAACAAATCAGGCTGTTGGAAATGCCATGAAGAATATGGATCGCGGTTCCACATGTGGTGGACGTGCCCAAAAATAACAAAGTTCTGGATAAGAATACATGAAATAATTTGTGAAATTTTGAACATTAAATTTGAATGCTCTCCAGAAGTATACCTTTTGAATGTGTTAGAAACAATTAACATGACAGATAGGAAAAAAAATTGGAAAATAATTCTCTATATGATAACGGCGGCCAGGTTACTGATAGCAAGCAAATGGAAATCTGAAGAGCTCCCTACAATAAACAGTTGGCTATTAAAGATGATTGAAATATCAAAGATGGATAATTTATCAGATATAAAAGAAGGAACCGATATAAATATAAAAACAGTGAAATGGAATAGGCTGTTTGAATTTTGTGATAAACTTTGGAATGATTAAGGCAAGTAAGCAATAAAGGTGTCTGGATCAATGACTTAGGAACATCTGGGGGAAAAAAGAAGAAAAAGCTGTGTCAAAGAAAAAAATGAAGTTTCAAAAGATAGAAGTAGGTATGAATTGTAAATATTATAGTAACATGCAGATAGGATATATGGAACAATAAGGAAAACACAATGGATATAAAGAAATAATTGATTTGCTGCTTATGTGACAAAGAGAACGGAAAAGACTAGGATAATGAATTGGTCAAATATATGTTGCCATTACTTACCTATTAGCTTTTTTTTTCTTGTATTGATAAGTGTATATGTAAGTTTTGTGTTGTTTTGACTGTTTTTTTTCTTTTTTTTCTTGTTTATATGTTAACTGGTTTGTTTATTGTCACATAGATATTTTTTTTCTTTTTTGTTTTGTTTTGTTTCGTTTCCTCTTCTGCTTTTCTTTTCTTTCTTTTTTTTTCCTTTTTTTTTCTTTAACTTTCTCTTATTCTAGATGCTGTTGGGTAAACATGAAGTGGACTGGTTGCTTTATAGTTATATAAATTGGAGGATGTACTCAATATATGTGCTTGATATGTTTTGTATGTTTGTATATAATAATTTTTTTTAAAAAAAAAACATGTTTTTAAAGGAAAAATACATTTATTTACCTTTTAAAAATGTTTCATACACATTGAAAACATTTCACTTTGGTTTAGTCATGTCCAAGATGTTGCCAACCACCCAGGCCAATTTGCACAGTACTCAAGCCTAGCCCAGGCATTTTGGCACATGAGGAAGAGATGCCTTTAAGCAACTTTCTCCCTCCTTAACAATAAAAATACAATAAAAACAAAGTAAATAATTAACCACTTTCTGCCATTTTTATGGCACCCAGAATCCATTGTCTAAGATGGCTACCTCAATCTGCCTAATGGTAGGGTCAAGCCCAGTTGCATGGGAAGTTGAGACATCACAGGAAATGACACCAGGACACACAATTGGCAGAAAAAGGCTACAACTTTATTGAAGTTGTGACAGGTAGGGTTGGCCCAAATGCATGGGCTTGGATCTTTCATTGTTGAATCTGCCTGTTGTTTGATAAACCCAAAGCCCAGTCACAGACAGGCTTCGGGATGACAGAAGGGGTAATCAACTGATTGCATGTCACTGGGGGATGCTGTTCAGGAGTTGCCCCCGCAATGGCAACACCTTGCCACTCCCAGCACCCCCAGATCCCCTTGGGACTCCCAATCTTGTGCTCTGCAGTACAGGAAACCATACCCACCAGATCCACAACCCATGCTACTGCCCTTAAAAGTTGTGACAGAACCTCAAAAACCGCTGACCCACTAGAGGAAGGGAGGGTGGGAAGAGCACCTAAGCTGGGAGCTCCTCTCTGGGCAAGAGCTAAGCTGAAATGGCACAGGCCACCCCAGCCACATAGCCTTAAATAGGCTGCTTGCCCAATCAGGGCCACCACTGGGTGGAAGTCCTTCCCCTCCCTGGCCTTCCCACCAATCATGGAGGCTGTCCTGTAGCAGAGGAGTGGAGCTTCCAGCCACAGAGGCTCCCGGGGCTTCTAGTCCTGAGCAACTGCCAGAGGTCCTGCCCTCCAGTGGTCCCAGGCAACCAATCCAGGCCTGCAGAATGGTTCCTAGGGCATACTGGGAGCCAACCAAACCCCTGGATGAGCTGAAACAGCCCCCATGGACTGATGCCTTCCCTTGCCCTGTAACTCAGCTAGCCTCGTAAATTGGGTGGCCACATTTATTACCACTGTAAATATAAAGAGTAAAATGAAAGAACCTAATACAGACATTGGGTTGTTGTAACTAAGGAGTTAGCACACTTTCATTGCTTCCTAGAGATTTCACTACTCTTTCTTGTTGTTGGATTCTGGGTCTGGGTCTGAAAGGTAGTAGCTGAAACAAATCAGTTTCAGTCAACATTACTAATAACCCATTCAGTTTACTGTCCTGTGTGACTGACCTTAGATTGCTTATTACACAACTTATTGCGGGTGGGGGGTGGGGAGAGCATTCACCTTCAGAATCTAACAGGAAAAGTCAGGTAAACTGAAAAGCCATTTGAGTCAAAAAGAAGAGGGGCCGGGGTGGTGGTGGTTCTTTGCCATTTGATCCCTTCCTTCTCTTTAAGTCAATCTGAGATTTAATCTGACCCACCTCTATTCAGAAAGTCCTCAGACAACTCTCTCCCTCTTTCCTTCTCTCTGAGTCTCTCCAGTACTTCTTAACTATTTGACAGAGAAGTAGGCTTGAAAGGAATCATACTTGAAAGGAATCCCCAAGTATTTTAGCATGGCATGAGTGAAGCACAAGCTTCAGAGCACATTAGGAGGTGTTGAATCCATAGTCCTGTCTTGATCATGTGCTTCATATATCCTGTTTGTGAGTTATGATGGCACAGGTCCAGCTTACAATATCATAGCTCACAAAGATCACCCAACAACCAAAAATTTCCCAAAACCACCTTTTCTTATATGCACTTCCCCATTGCTGGCTGGTAGAGAATGGGGGAGGCCAGAGTAGCATAATGGTTTGAGTATTGGACTACCATTCTGGAGACCAGTGTTCAATTCCCAGCTTGGCCATGAAACCCACTGGGTGACCCTAGGTAAGTCATACTCTCTCAGCATCAAGGGAAAACAATGGCAAACATCCTCTGAACAAATCTTCCCAAGAAAGCCCCATGATATATTTGCCTTAAGGTCACCATAAGTCAGAAATGACTTGAAGGAACACTACACAGGGGGCATTCAACTGTCTTGCTATATATGGATGTACAGGAACATGTATCCTGCAGGACTTCCCAGAATTCTTCCAGTGGTTTCTGAAGATGAGCTATAGGAAAATAACTGAAGGTGACTACCTTGCCATCATCAAAGATTAGAAAAACTATGAATTTTCTTTATATCTCTATTATATTCACAATACAATCCTTCAACAGATTTGGAAAGGTGGACTAAAGCAGCCATTCTCTTGGGATAAAATGTACTGCTCCTGAACTGATGGCACCTCATGATAATTCCACTTTAGTTTTCAAAGGGGGGGTTGCAGATTGCCAGAAATAGTGCAAATTGAGTCCACTTTTAGGGTTAGGATTAGTGCTAGGGAATCATGGGATTTTTTTTCTGAGACATGGAGCCTTCTCTGTCAGAGAGCTCTTGTGCCACAATAAAATACAGTTCCCGTGATTCCCTAGCCCTAAACCTAACCCTTAAAGTGGACTCAATTTGCACTATTTCTGGCAGTCTGCAACCCTCCAAAGTCTTAATTGCTGCTTCCCAATAATCCTCAGAGACCTCCTTAAGCCTCTCTTTGTTATCACCATTCAGTGAAGGTAGGTAGGAGTAAGTGGTCTTCTATATCTGAATGGATAGGACTCTCTGCCAGAGCTGGTATTGCACTCCGGTCTGTCTCTGAGATGTGTGACTCTGAAACCTCTTCCTGCTCTGGTTTAGCAGCAACTCCCAGCATGTTCACTGCTTCAGTCTCTGAGTCAGAGGCCATGTCCATGTTCTAGAAGCAAGCATGATGGCAGCCATGACCACGCTGATGGAAAAATTTGGCTTCCTGCTACAGCTTCTGAATTTAAGGGGAGGACAAGCTGTCCACACAACTGGCACCCACAATGGGCTGATAGCAGCAGCACTGTCTGCACACTCTCCCCCTCCCCCCATCCTGGCCATCAAAACTCAGTATACACCTGAAAAACTGTGCAACCTGAAAGTGACAGCACTGTGGCAGGAGTTGGCATTACTGGGCAGGAAGAGATCAGTGGCTCACCTGGCCCAGCACATCTCCTGATCTCTTCTGCCCATCTGCTGATGCTCCTCCCTGATCCCTGAATTGGCACACAGTCCACACACTCAAGGAATTCTCTGGAGTTTCCAGCATGATTCAGAGCAAATGTGGACTCTTTACTGTGGACTCTCCTCTGGAGAATCACCCCGGAACATGGATTGGACTCTTGTTTCACCTGTTTTGGCCCCATACATCATCTAAACAGATCAGTGCAGGAACAGGGCAAGAATGTTTCTTTTCCTCCATGCAAGAAATGGCTGGAACAAGAAAGTGTCCTTATAGCAAATACCAATAGTTGTTGGAGGTCTCAGGGGGAATCAGTGAAAATGGTTTTCATTCCCCCGGTCCAGAAATGGAAGGATTCATTTGGTTCATGGAAGAGCAACTCAGGATCCAAGTCATGAGCCCTTCATCTTGAATTCTTGGTAACACATGTTATTCTGAAAACTCAAGTTCACCAATATTAAAAAGAAGTTTCACTTGTGTATATTTTATGATGGACTTCAAAATGGCAATGCAATAAAATCAAGGCAGATGAAATGTTATATCCAGCCAACTGATTTATGTACAGTGTGTTAAATAGCTGACAAAAGAACAAAACTATTAACATGTATTTTCCATGTGTCAGATCTATAGGCTTAATGGCCGCATCATCAGTATTTCTTGCAGAGCAAAAATTAAATGTTTTATTCAGCTGGTTATTGATATTTGAAGTAACATTGAAGAATTCCAGGCACCTTGTTTCACAGAAAAGTGGTTGTATGGCAACATTTTGCTGCCTGAAAAAAAGGATAAAATAGGTGTGTGTATGTGTATGTGCCTTCAAGTTCTCTGTCAATTTATTGTGACTCCAAGAATTTCAGAAGGTTTTCTTAAGCAAGGAACACCCAGAAGTGACTTTGCCAGTTCCTTCCTCTGGACTATAGCTGACAGCACCTGGTATTCATTGGCAGTCCCCCATCCAAGTACTAACCAGGACTGACCCTGCTTAGCTTCTAATATCATACAGGAGCTGGCACCTTTAAGGTATTTAAGGCTTACACAATCTCATTTAAATATATAAAAGAGAGCCTGGAAAAAAAATACAAATTTTGATTTATAGCTCCCCAAAGCATGGCCACTGAGGGATTCTGGAAGCTATATAGTTCTAAACCAGTAACTTTTCTGGACTTGGTACAGAAAACTCTTGCATTGGTGAGGGTATTGTGTCTTCCACTATACCAAGAAGGCAGCAGTATAGCCTGTGGGGAAGCTGCAATAAAGGAAATAGCAAAAAAAACAAGACTCCAAGAACAGATGACATTTCAATTGAACTGTTACAATTCACATTGGCAGAGTGAACACTAGTGTTAACCAACATATGTCAACAGATATGGAAAGCAAAACAATGGTCAGCAGATTGGAAGTGATCAATATACATGCTCATCCACAAAAAAGGAGACACAAGAGACTGCAGCAACTATAGAACCATAGCACTAATCTCCCATGCAAGCAAAATAATGCTCAAAATTCTGCAACATAGGCTTCAACCATACATGGAGAGAGAAATCCCAGAGGTCCAAGTGGGGTTCAGGAAAGGAAGGGGCACTAGGGACCACATTGCAAACATATGATGGCTAATGGAGTGCACCAGGGAATTCCAAAAGAAAATCAGCATGTGCTTTATAGACTACAGCAAAGCCTTTAACTGCATAGATCATGAAAGGCTATGGAACGCCCTTAAAGACATGGGAGTGCCAACACATCTGATAGTCCTGATGAGGAATCTGTATTCAAGACAAGAGGCTACTATCGGGACAGAACACAAAGAAACAGAATGGTTCCCAATTGGCAAAGGAGTCAGACAAGGCTGCATCCTTTCACCCTACCTATTCAACATATTCAGAACATATTGTAAGGAAAGCAGGCTTGGATATGGAAGAGGGAGAAGTGAACATAGGAGGAAGAAATATCAACAATCTGAGATATGCTGATAACACCATAATACTAGCAGAAAACCTCACAGACTTGGAACAACTACTAAGGAAGATCAAAGAAGAAAGTGCAAAGGCAAGCTTACTGCTGAATATAAAAAAACCCCCAAAAATAATGACCACAGATAACATAAATATGAGGAAATAGAAATAGTAAAAGAGTTTTCATACCTGGGATCAAACATTGATCAGAATGGGGACTGCAGCCAGGAAATCAGGAGAAGATTAAGAATGGGGAGGGTGCCTATGAAAGAACTCAAAAAGATCCTAAAATGCAGACTTACAACTCAGTACAAAAGTCAGAATCCTACAAGCCATTGTATTCCCTA